CAGGTCACCTAGACTAATCCTATTGAACCAAGACCTGGTGGACTTAAAGCCTCTATGAGGGGTTTCTTACTGGTTATAAAAACATTAAAACCACTTTTCCATCTTCAGGGAACATCTTTACAGCCCACTTCAGAAAACATTTATTTAGTAAAACAAACTGTGTCGGGGTAAATTTTTGAGGTTACATAAGGGTTGAATCAACATGTTGACCACCTCTGTTGGGCCTCAAAATGTCTTTCCAGGGAGTCGTGGGTGATGTTAGAGAAAATACGTCCATCTCCTCTACAGTCTAAAGCAGTCTTTATTTTATGTCGGAATATCACTTTAAGCCGACAAAACATACGGGATACGCGTTGAGCGCCTTACGTCAGCGTCACGTCTCTGCTCTGTCAAGCAGCACAGTGTATCACCCACAGGATGCATATTTGGAGCGTGGCAGCAGTGCAGCCCTGGTCAGCTGGGCTCAGTATAGAGGAAACAACATGCTCACAACAGGTTGTTTGGCCTTTCTGTGGTCTATTTCCTGCTAATTTGGATATAATTCAGTGACTGTTGAGCTTCTACTGTATGTGAAAAAGCAACAGGATTTTACAGTTTTGGTTTTCGCAGGTTTACTCGTGTTTAATAAAGTAAACTATGTTCCTTTATGCTGTGTTGTTACCTTTAGACAGAGTTAGCAGCTAAAAGTCCTGTTGGGGTCCACATGGATCAGGGATTGACCATCGGATTGTTCTGTGTTACTGATAAATCCATAACCAGGAAGTTTTTCTCATCTACACCAACTGATACACAGTCGGGAGTTCGCATATGGTGTTTTATTTTGAAATTTACCGGATGACATGCGCGGTTTCCATGCTTGACATCCTGCCTAGAATGATCTTCTCTGAGTACATTGACGAGTGTTGGAAGCATAGAGCAACAAAAATAGACTCGGCGCGTAACTTCAGCAGTGCTGCGCTCAATACACTTCTGATACGGAGCTGCGGTGGAGCTGATACGCGTCCTATGTGTGATGCTGCATTGATCAGAATGGGAAGCTATTTGCTGCATGATATGCAACGCTGACGTTACGCTCAACACGGATTCTGTTGGCTTTATGCTTAAGGCTCTCACACAGGAACCCCCCTACCAAAAAGAAGATTCAAGCTTTTCTGAAAGCTGTAGCGTAACTATAAATTTTTCGGATGCAGACTTTGTGACTTTGTTGTCATAGTCATGATCATATGTTTGGGATATTTTCTTTCTCTAATCATCTGTTTTTCACTGTTCTGTTTCTGGGTCCGCCGGGTCTTTTAGTGATCTGAAAGAAAGAGCTCTGAGCTTCACATCAGCATCACGAAGCAAAGACTCTGCAGGGATCTGAATTATTTATTTGAGCACACTCCCCTTTGAACTATTGAACTTGAACTCAGCTCAGAATGAAAATATGAGAGCCTGAAGCTGGTCGAAGACTGCCTCTGAGAGAGAAGATTAGTCCCATTGTAGTAGATGAAGCATCCTCTCAAGACAGACAAGAATCCTCAGCCTGTCACCAATACAAGACAGACAATTTGAACAAAAGTGATGTTCAGTGTGGTGGGCGCTAGCAAGGAAAATCATATTCTTTCCATTTATAGAAAACTGACTTTAAGAGTCCAGAGCTGTACTTTCATGAATTATGAAATGGTGAAACAGAAACAGCAGAGAGCCATCATTATTTTCAGTTTCGAGTTTGGTTTGAGGAAGAGTGTCGATCGTGAGAGCAGCTTGTGAGTCAAAGTCAACCAAGATGCTCACTGAAGGCAATGTGGACATGCAAGCTTGCATTAGCACAATTTGTAAACTAAACAAAGGCGGCCTCATGAGCGTTGAACTAACTTTGCATGTTTTTAATACCTAAACTCAAATTCTTCCACCAATGCAGATCCTTGCATATTTTATTTCTGGGCCACAGGCCTTCTCGGATCTTTCAGTTTGATGAAGACCATATCTCATAAATTTCAGGTCCCTGGTCTGTGAAATAGGCTTTCTGTAGCACTCTTAAAGTCTCCTAAATTGAGTTTTAAGTGTAAAATCATTTGGATTCAAAGAGTGGTAGTTGCCAATTTTCCCTGTTTGCATCATTTCACTCAGTGCCTGCTCCATTAAAGCCCATGTGACCCGATGTAGAGCAGGAGCGAAATAAGTGGGAACGATTACCCCACTCTCGCAGAAAAAGTCAGGCCATTCTTATTGAATTTCTCTCTCTTTTTTTCCCCAAAGTGTCTCCAGCGACTGCACCACACACGACTTCTTGTAATCAACATTAAATCACTTGGAATACGTTTTCTGCAGTTTCACAGAGTTTGTACAAAGTCAATGTTTTTTTCTCCCCTACGGCGACTGCGGGTAAAAGCCCAGAAAATTAAAGAATACGATATTCATGCTTTTGTTTTCCATCAGCTTCAGTGCATGTTACACTGTCAGAGTGAGGCTGAGGCAAACACCACTGCAGTAGAGCTCATGCTGTTTTTTCTCTGACATACTTAAAACATTAGGAGTCATTAACAGAGTCTGCACATTTGCATACACACGTTGGTGCTGAAACACAAACTCTGCTGTATTGTCGCACTTTTTAACCAATCATCATGATCAGTATGTCCTTGTACAATTTACCGAACAGAGTGATAGCTCAGCAACATGAGCTCTGGTTGTATATAACAAAGCAGTTATACGGGCATGACTTTATATGAGAGTAATCTCAAATGAGCTCTGATAAAAGGCTCCTGACATTACTTCACCTGGATCATAAAGATTTTATCACAATGTTCATGAAAAACTTGAAAATTAACAACACACTCAGTAAGATTGAGAAAATACAAGAATGGAGTTACATATTACTTCACAAACTTGGGATTTATCCATGTTACTAGCCTTCTAACTGAAACGTCTTAGGAGCAGACACTGCTTTGACATGCGCTTTGACAAGGAATGACATGCTTTTATTTTGATATTCTTACTGTCTTGCATTTAAGTTGCTTGATTCCCTGCATGATCAATCTATGCTTTTAATATGAAGTGTACGCCTTCTGGTAGATTGTAAGTTGTCTAACTAAATAATTAAATGAACGGTTGGAAAGTGCAAATGTTCAGCTAAGCAGTAACCTGAGGAAGAGAAGAATTTTATTGATCCCCAGAGGTAAATTCAACCAGTTAGTGTTCTTTGATTCACCCTGTTTTCAATGATTCAAGTGCGTCTGAAGAATGGATGAAAACTATACAAAACTTAAAGATGCTCTGGACCCCATTTTTAAAAGGCGATGACTAATGTCAGCTCATTCAGGAATAGTAAAAACATCCATAATAACAGCTCTGTCATCCTGAGACTCATCTTGTGGCTTTGATTTGAATTTAAAAACCACATTTTGCAGAGTGATCATTGATATCATTGCTGCTACAAACCTCCTGATGACAACAGCTGTCATCTGCCCTCACAAATAACTGAACAAACTCTTGATCGCTACTTCTGATGGAGATGAAAAAAACAGCTTTACAGCTTCATCACCATTCCCCACAAATGGGTATCATTTGTTACCAAATGGCATCGCGCCTGAGAGGAGCTTATGAGGAGGAGAATCTGGGTATTAGATTTGTGGTGCCATGCTCCCCTGACTACAGCAGCTGAAAAATTTATGCAATTAAATTTCTAATTTCAGCAGGGTAATCAGGTCAGACCTGTCTGACTTCATTATCTAGACCAAAGCTTGTTATTAAATCCAATCAGATGAAGTCTTGTTTCAGTGTCGTGACTTCGGAGCTTGTTGGAGAAAAAGGTGGTAAAATAATCTACGTAGAAATGAGCTTTTGTTGGCCTCTGTAGAGCCATGAGAAGAAATGAAAGAGGATAGTACAGTCAGCAGTGAAAGAAATACAGATGAGTCTTTTCCAAAGAAATCATGTTAAAATTTAATGTCCTTTGACACTGAACACCTAAAATCATGCTTGCAGCACCGAGAGGTCTTGTTGCCTTTATTGCTGCTTTCAAGCAATTCTGACATCTCATGGAAATCTGTTGCAATAGTGTTACACTCCCAGAAAGTCTGAGAGAAAACAAATCAACACAATCCCTTTTTATTGCATATCAAACAAAACTAGACCATGTGGAGATGTTTTGTCTTAAGACGCAACAAAAACTAGGAGAGGACATGATGCACAAAGACTGATTTGTCCAGAGGGGATGCAAACCGGAGGGAAATCCTAAACCCCTGTGTAATTGATTTTCAAATTAAAGCTACTGTGAGGAACTTTTGGAGTGTGTGAATTTTAGCGCCCTCTGTGTATAAAGCAGTCTTTGCATATATCGTCCCCTACACATTTAGGTCGTGTGTTCTAACAAAAAATTGCTTAATGTGTCATTCATAACTAGTATATAAAGAAAAGGGCTTTTTCTCAAGCTGCTCAGCTGACGCCAACCCCCCAACCTCCCATCCCAGCATCACTTTGAAGCTTAATGATACTTAGGATATAACAAATGCAATCATTTTACTGGTAGTTTTGCTTGATTTTATGTGTCATAAAGAGACACCAGTCTGTTTCATAAGCTGTGAAATTGCCTTTACTTAAGCTTTAAAAGGAAATTCAAAAGTATGTGAAAAGGGAAGAAGTGGAATCATTATGGGAAATAAAATGCTCCAGACGGATTAATGATGTTTCAAGACAAGATCATGCTTTGTGGTATATGTCAGCACAGTATATATCAGCACACAGGCTGGTCTGGGTTTATGTCTGCACCTTTGATTGCAGAGACAGCGGCAGTCACATAAATGCATTATTCAAAGTGTGGATAATATTAAGGCGATAATGACCTGGAAGTCGTCTCTGCTGATTTAATATTGCCTTGGAGCTTGACGGCTTCCTGCATCCAAACACCTGAGCCAAGAGAGAGAGTGAGGAACATAATCTTTGCTGGACCACCTGTGCTCATACATATACATGGAGAGTGTGTTTACATTACTTTTTCTATATGGTCACAGTGTTCCCTCCCCTTGCCTTCTGCCCCGAGGTCACAAACACCACCAGAGAAAACACATTATTGATGTTCTTGGAGCTGCCTTTTTCATGTGATGGCGTGCGTTTTTTTCCAGCCTTCTCTCCCACAGTGTTTCCGAAGGGTGAGTGATGCAGAAAATTCTGCAAAAAGAGGACATGTTGCTGAGGGGGTATAGCATAAATAGGTTTCAGATAGTATAGAAATGGCAAATAGTTGTTAAGTCAGAGGGTTGGAGGATGAAATAAAAAAGGATGGTATTCAAGAGCATAAAAACAGGTAGAAATGTGTCTGCTGTTATGGATTTTGCACCTGCTATATGAGAGCTGTGATGACTCCACAGCAGAAACCTCTCGACCACAAGGTGAGTGAGGCTTTGATGGGAAGCAGCCAGCTTTCATGTGCAGCCAGAGGGGGAGAGAACCCTGGGAGTACAGCTCATCTATCAGTGCTGTAAGGAGAAGTCGCCTCCGGCAGCAACAGATAGGAAGTCAAAACAGACACACACATTTGGCCAGATTTGTTACACTTGAGGATTTTTTTTACTCCACTGACTCACATCTATTCCCTGAATTCTGATCTAGATTCCAACATCATATGGCTTAAAACCCTATCCTAAAATTAGTCTAAATTCTGGCTTAAAAATGATCTTTTGCCCAGTATGGGGGCATAGGTGTTTAAAGAATCCTATTCAGATTCACTCGTTCAGTCAAGATGCAACAAAAAACTCCCAAAATGTTGAAGAGTTTTGGAGAACTGTCCATTTCGGGTAAACAAAGAGATTCAAGCTAATAAAAAACGGATAAAAGCCAAGGAGAAGTAATTTCCCCTTGATTACCAAATAATCTAAACCAAACACTGCTCGCTGTTACTAATGTGCTGCATGTGAAAGCTGACGACTAAATCATTTCTATGAACACTAAAGTGGGTGATTAACAGTGCAGATGGGCAACACTCCTAGCAACAGGCAACAACGTGGGCAACATGATGAGGAAAAAAAAACACACATCAAATGTTCCCTGGCAACAAGGTTTCCCTGAAGGATTGAAATAAAAGAGCAAATGGTGGGTCTGATTTAAATTTGATGGGAAACATTTCTATTTGCTTTTGCTCGCCCTGCAGATGGAGGTCAAAGGTTAACTGTAAGATGTGTTAAACAGCTGTTGGGAGCTGGCACAGGAGCAACAGTTCAACTCGAGCAATAACAGCAGCTTGAGAAAGTAACAGAGAGCCATGTGTTGTTTTACTGTAAGATGATGAAGTAAATGTCTTATCCTTAGACTTTTGCCAGAAGCTGCAGATAAATATTTGTTTGTCTGGAGACTGCAGAGAAAGTCCGGTTTAGACTGTGAAGAGATTTGTGTTATCAGTTGTAGGCTGGCTAGTAAGTTGGTAGATGCTGCTACATTATTGATTTAGTGTGTTACCTCATGTTTTAAACCCAAAGGGAATTTGGCTTAAAATAGCTGTTATAGCATATATAATACAGATGAGGAGCAATTTAAGAACTAAAGAAAATATCTGAGATTAAGTCGAGTAAAAGAAAAAGCTCAGTGTACTTATTGGTACAATTCCTTAGACCATGTGGGCGGGACCAAACACTTTGACTGACATCCCGCTATTTCAGTCAAAACATCCTCAGAGAGTCTTAAGAGAGTTTTTTGGGTAAGATATTTTTCCTGTCTGTAAGAATTTGAGTGTGACGAAGAATAGCTGAGTGTGCTTCTGATACATATACTTCAATAAAACTGTATCTAATCGAATCGAATCTACGTCCTCAGTCATAGAAAAAAGTGAATACTAAAAACTTGATCTGAAAAGTGTAAGAAGTCACATTTCAACAACACAAATACCCTCTTCACAACATGGAGCTCCATTTAACTGAAATATGTTGTAGTTTGTTGCATGACTTGGAGTCTTTAAAGGATATTCTGGCGGAAGTTTAAGGCATGGTCAAACACAACGTAACACAGAGTTGGACACCCCCTCGAGAGATGAATGTTAACCTACTGCTTGCTTCTTTAGATACACTAACTTTAATATTACACATGCAAATATGCAATACAAAGCGGTCTACCTCTCCACGCACAAACCTCAACCAAAAAGCCACTCTATAACCACAAATAATGCTCAGAACAGCACCTAACTTCATCAACAGTACATATAGGGTCCCAGCCATCAAACATCTTTTTTAGCTTTGCCTGTTTTTTTTTTGGCAAAGAGACCAAACACAACTCACCCACTCTCCTCCAGCAGCCACTTGTTTGTGGGGGAGCCCTGACGAGTTGATCACCAAGTGCAGCGGAGTGCCGCAGCTCAATGAAGAGTATTTATGATTATTGCTTCATGGAAATGCAATCACAGTTCTTGTGTATCTTGTATGTGCTCTGCAGACATGGTAGTTCTTCTGCCTTAGCGTCTCGGTCTGAATGTATTTTCCAAGTAATAATCATAAATGTACCACTGCACTCAGTGATCAATTCGTCAGGGCTCCCCCACAAACAAGCGGCTGCTGGAGGAGAGTGGGTGAGTTGTGTTTGGTCTCTTTGCTAAAGAAATCAGGCAAAGCTGAAAAGATGTTTGATGGCGAGTACTATGGCTGGGACCCTATATGTACTGTTGATGAAGTTTATTATCTCACAGTCACAGTATTTATAATGATTCAAGACCACCCCACATCTGGAGCTCTTTGAGTTTTGAGATTTCCCCTCACCATCACTTCACTTTTGCACTTTCACACTGAGTCTTGCAGCTGTGTAACATTGGTGCTCCTGGGTGTGATTATACAGCGTTGCTGAAACCCAAGAGGTGAAAAATGTAAACAAACAGCCTAAGCTTTTCACACACACTGTAATGGGCTGTTATGTCCTGAGGGTTCAGTGTTTTGCAATTGAACAAACTAGAGAAAAAGGCTGGCTCTGTGGTTGGATTCAAAATGGGCTCACTGGAGGATGTGGTGGAGAGATTTAAACAAGGAAGGTGGAGGCTATTCTAAAGAACATTGATCACCCACTTCATAACACCTTAATGGACTAAACGGCCAATGGTGGTGGACGGCTCCTCTCTCTTCACTGCAGGACAGAAAGATTCAGAAGATCTTTTGTACCCGCCGCCATCAGACATTACAACGCTTCTCTAAATAGTAGATAACCTATAGAAATGTATTATGTGAGACAACAGACAATTGAATTTCCCTTCAGGGATTAATAAAGTTCTTCTTATTCTTATACATGTTTGATAAAACAAACAAACAAACAAACAAAAAATCACATAACTTTCCAATCACAGTGTGTTTAGTACAACAAAATGTAATTTTGTACAAATTGAACGCTATTTTTGGTATATTTATAGTAAAATCTATATTTTCTCAGTACAAAACGAACATTTTTTTAGTTGCTACCTAAACATTCAGAGGTTGTTTTGTTTTGAATCCAGTCAAACCCACTGATCAGTCCCAGATTTCAAAGCAGCCACAGCTGAACTAATTTCAAGTGAGAATTTCTTTTAAAACAAAGTCCATTAAAGTATTTTTATTTGACAGGACCAACAAAAGACCAGAGACCAGATACTGGGACAGGACTTCCCTTTTTGAGGAAAAGTACGAATTTTGGATTTTTTTATAGCCCCATTGTGTGAAGAAAAGTATAAATGATGTGAACCATTGAGCAAATAAAAACAAATTGTTAATATTTGCCAAACTGTTTAACTATTATTGTTAAATTATGAAAATAATTTCAACAAAATCCCCTTGAAATGTTGGATAATCAATCATGCATGGTCATGAAGATGTACTTAAATAAGCTTACATGATAGGCTACATGTTTTTAACTTTGTAATAAAGGTCAAAGGCAACCTGATGAGTACACGCAAACATGTTTTTATTGATTAGTTAAATTTTTTTTTGACATATTATTGATCTTGAAAATATAAGAATATAACTACATGATTAGAGAGTTACTGTTAGCTGTTTCAAAGACACATAAGAGTCAGAAACTCAGACCCTGAAGAAGTTTTCAAAAGTTTGTTTTTGGTTCTGCCTGCAGATGGAGCAGCGCTTCACCTGGGCTTCAGCCCTCGTCCTGGTCCCGGGTCGGCCCGGCAGCCAGCGGCTCATCCTCCGAAGGATCCCAGCACAGACCTCCAGCAGCAGCAGCAGCAGCTCCACACCTGCCAGTCCCCCTGGCTGGACTGTAAGGTCACACACACTGTTTCCTTCCCACACTACCGATGAGGCCTCGAAGGAGCAACACCGCAAGACCCTCAATGAGGTGGTTAGAGCCTGTCCTCCTAAGAGGGTGCCCACTGTGGCTCCTGAAGCAGGCCCATCAAAAACCCCATGTATCTCTTTTAAATTGTGGTCTCAAGCTCTTGCAGGGTTCTCCCCAGAAGACGGTGTGGAATCGAGGCCAGCTGTGAAGGTGCGGTCCCCCAGACCAGCTGTGGCCCCACGCGCTGCTCCACAGAGGTGCCCATGGAGAGCAGCTGTGGCACCCAGTGCTGCTCCAGGACCTGGTTCTCTGAAAGCAGCTCTGGTACTTGATACCTGTTTGCTTTATTGTGGTTTGGTTAATGCAAACCTTCATTGTTTGCTTCACATATTTTTCTTTCTTGTACTTATACTTTCCTTGATTTAACTTTACTGAAAGAGACAGAGAAGAGAGCGGAGAAGAGGAAAGGACAGGAAAGCAGAGGAGAGGAGGAGGTGAAGGAGAGGAGGTGGGAGGGCCAAAGGTTTAAAACTGTCACAGGAACAGGTACATAACAATATTTGTTTGCCATTGTTTCACTTGTTTTTCAAGTCTTTTGTTTTTCTTTCTTTTTGCATATTTTACTTCAACTTTCCTTTTGTACAATTTTCTTGTAGAAAGAGAGGAGAGAGAAGATCTAGTTGGAAGAAAGGAGAGGAGAGGAAAGGAGAGGAGCTGAGAGGAGGTGGGAGGGTCAAAGGTTTTTAACTGTCACAGAAAAAAGATACACATCAATACATGTTTACTTTTATTTCCACTAAATCACATACATGGTTTTTATTCTTTGTATGTTTTGTTTACTTGAACTTTCCTTATTTCTATTTTTTCCTGCAGAGAGAGAAAATGAAGACCAAGTGAAGGAGAGAGGAGAGGCAAGGATGGGAAAGGAGAGGAGGTGGGAGGGAAAAAGATTCAAACTTTTAGTTTGAAAGATATTTATCTTTTTACTTATTAAGAGAGAAAAAGGGCGAGGGGACAAATTAAATATCTTGTTCACTCCATCATGTGTGACTATTTACTGGATATTCAATTTAATGCGGTTTCAGCTGTTTTCATTCGGTCAGGTTGTGTCCATTATGCGTGCCAAACGCGCTCGTCAGATAAGATATAGATCAGAATATATTGATATAGATCTAAATGTATGTGCTGATTCAGATAGTTGCACTGAATAGTGGTTGTTGTTATTTATTGCACAGAAATGTGCGTGAAACTGTGGAAACTTAAATGAGAGGTACTGATGACGTATGCGCACTGCTCTGACGGTCTACCAAAATACCATTAGACCAGCAGCACTCTGGCTTTCAGCTCACGTTCTACACCCTTGGCGGGCACAAAAATATCACTGCTTTAACTGATTCTGTCGACATGTCCCCCTACTGCGCCGCCATGCCCAGCTTGGCGCATCTTGGTGCGCCTCAGTCTACGAAAATACTAAATTGGCTGCACTGCCTCTCTGTCCGCCTCTCTGTCCCATGCCGCTGCTGGGCACAAAAATAGAGCCCACCATGTATGAAACTGTAACAAGAGTACAGATATTTTCTGCAGCCTGATATATAAAATAAGCTCAAATTGGTCACTATAGAACTTGATTTTCAGTATTTTTCCTCTTCCCAAAGGTAGAGCTTTTGGCACAACACTTGGATGTCATGCACATTCTCATGGGACTTGTTTTCCAAGTTTTTATGGGACTCTAATTTAAATGCCAGAAGAAACAGAATATTAATGAACTAGAGTGAGAACAAGTGAGTTTCCCGGAGGAGAAAGAATGTTTTGGTGAATAAGAAATACGCGCTACAAGGTGAACAAAGTAGTAGTGCTCCACTAGTAGTTGTGCCCTTTCTACACCATTAAGGTTGAAGAGACTTTCCTCATCCTTTGTCTGCACCCCTTTTTGCTCTGTTGAAATCTGTGCATCTATCTGGTCAGCCAGTAACAAACCATCAACTTACTCGCTGTCCTGACCAGCGAACTAAGTGCCTGCTTAGGGCCCCATGGCCAAAAGGGGACCCCCAAGAGCAATCAAAAAATAATAATAAAATTATTTATTTTTTGCATGTATAAGTGATGCTTTCTGTATATTATTGTAAAAATAAAATAAAATAAGAACATTTTAATGCTGCTGATGTAACCCTTTGATTCTTACTGCCGATATGTCAAAGCTCCGCTACTGTTATATGTGCTTCCTGCTGTGCAATGTGCACTGAGCATCCAAAGTGCAGGTAGTTGTGGGGCAAAACAATGTCGCAAAAAAGGACATACCCTTCAGGAGCAGAGAGAAGAAAGGGGAAGAGAAAAAAACGCCAAGATAAAGGTGTGTTTGCATGTCGTGGAATGTTAAAGAGAATTGTGAAGGTGCGTGAATAATCAACAATAAACATTATTGGCAGAAATAGAGGGCCCCAAAATCAAATTTGCTTAGGGCCACATTGAGGCCTGTACTATTTATGTTGCTACCTCAGTAGTGTAAAACTTCACATCACCATGACACCCCTGTGACTTTTAACAGCAAGGTGCGGAGCCATTGTGAACCGGCTGTTCAGGATGGGCATTAAGAGTTTAATATTTACTGTAAATTGGCAGCTGTAAACAATCATGCAGTGCTCTCCTTGGGATCTTTTTGCCCTTTTTCATTCAGTTAGGGTAGAGCTTTTGCTCAAATACAAGAAGCAAAAGAACAGCAACTACGTCGTTGAATGGATGGTACAAAACCCAATTCCATTGAAGTTGGGAAATTGTGATAAACATAAATAAAAACAGAATACAATGATTTTCAAATCCTTTTCAATCCGTATTCAATTAAATACACTACAAAGACAAGATATTTAATGTTCAATCTCATAAACTTTATTTTTTTTTGGAAATAATAATTAACTCAGAATTTCATGGCTGTAATATATGACAAAGAAGTTGAAATTTGAATGCTCATCAAACATCTATTTGGAACATCCCACAGGTGAGCAGGCTAGTTGGGAACAGGTGGGTGCCATGATTGGGTATAAAAGCAGCTTCCCCAAAAATTCTCACTCATTTAAGAGCAAGGATGAGGCGAGGTTTCACCACTTTGTGAAGAACTGCATGAGCAAATAGTCAAACAGTTTAAGAACAACGTTTCTCAAAGTACAATTGCAAGGAATTTAAGGATTTTAACATCTACGGTCCATAATATCATCAAAAGGTTCAGAGAATCTGGAGAAATCACTGCACGTAAGCGGCACGGCAGGAAACCAACATTGAATACCTGTGACCTTTGATTCCTCAGGTGGCACTGTATCAAAAACTGACATCAATGTGTAAAGGAGATCACCACATGGGCTCAGGAACACTTCAGAAAACCACTGTCAGTAAATACAGTTCGTCGCTACATCTGTAAGTGCAAGTTAAAACTCTACTATGCAAAGCCAAAGCCATTTATCAACAACATCCAGAAACGCCGCCGGCTTCTCTGGGCCCGAGCTCATCTAAGATGGACTGATGCAAAGTGGAAAAGTGTTCTGTGGTCTGACGAGTCCACATTGTTTTTGGAAATAGTGGATGTTGTGTCCTTCAAGCCAAATAGGAAAAGAACCATCCGGACTGTTATCGACGCAAAGTTCAAAAGCCAGCATCTGTGATGGTATGGGGGTGCATTAGTGCCTAAGACATGGGTAACTTGCACATCTGTGAAGGCAATATTAATGCTGAAAGGTACACACAGGTTTTGGAGCAACATATGCTGCCATCCAAGCAACGTCTTTTTCATGGACGTTCCTGCTTATTTCAGCGCCAAGCCAACTGAAGCTGTACATCAAGCAAGAATGGGAAAGAATTCGACCTTCAAAGCTTCAACAATTAGTCTCCTCAGTTCTCAAACGTTTATAGAGTGTTGTTAAAGGGAAAGGTGATGTAACACAGTGGTAAACATGCCCCTGTCCCAACTACTTTAGCACGTGTTGTAGCCATGAAATTCTGAGTTAATTATTATTAGCAAAAAAAAATAAAGTTTGAGTTTGAACATGAAATATCTTGTCTTTGTAGTGTATTAAATTGAATGTAGGTTGAAAAGGATTTGCAAATCATTGTATTCTGTTTTTATTTACATTTATCACAATTTCCCAAATCCAATGGAACTGGGTTTTGTAGATATCCTCCTTCAGCAAAGGGAGGTGATCAGATGGAAAAATCTATTTGTGCTTGCACTTGAAGAGGAGAGGAGCAGAAGGCAGGGATAGCATCTCTTTTGTGCATGTCCCACAGCTGTTCTGATTAAATCTGAAGGTGTGTGTAAACATCTAAACCACTACCTTGGATAAGAATGATTTCAATCAAAGTGAAGGAGAACGGTCCATGTAAACGTGTCCAGTGTGGCTAAAATAGATGCTATTTTGAATCTGCATATTTGCTGAATATAGAGTTCAGAAACTTCAGTGAAAAAACTTTTTGCAGCTTTATGTGGGTTTGGCACCCATCTGCAGCCTGATCTCACAGTTTGTCTTCTTTTGTAGTGAGTTTGTTGAGGCTGTGTAATCATGTTGTCATCTCCTGCCCACACGCGTGGCCTTTAAAACAAAAGTCCACAGAGATGGGCTTCTTTTGGACTAAGTCTTTTGAAAGACAAAGCTTAAGTTTTATTTTTATCTATGGCTGACTCACGGCGTGAAAACAACTGACTAAGCTTTTAAAGGTTGAATGTTGATCTCTTAAACAAAACCCATTCAGCTTTGTGTTTGTCTAAATTAGATCTATTCTACTGTGAACTATTACTAAGTGTTGTTTCCTGATTTAGATGCATTCAGACAACAGACTGAGCCTTCAAGATGTTTACTCTTCAGTACAAACAAGGAACTAATTGACAAAACAGAAACAAGGTCGTCATTGCCAGGTGTTATTCACAGCCGTAACACATCCCTGTCCATAGTTACCAATTAGCTCGGACTTTAAAAAAGATAAATAGGAAAACAAAAGTACAAACTAAGCATCATGTTTTTAATTTTCATAAGAACACCAGCATTTAAAGCTACAAACAAGTCTACAAGGTCAATTGGTGACATGATGCCGTCGATGAGAGGTCTTTGGAGTCCCGAAATGATCAGGTGGATGATGAACATGAGCTGAGGGGAGAAAGCCTTGATATGTCTGTTTTCTGTTACAGGGATGCTGATGTGGCTGGTGGTGTAACTGTACACTATGACTGTGACGCAGTCCAGGAAGCCCAGCTGTGGGCTACGGGATGGACCTGTTGGGTCTCTTTGGAGGGGGAGGGGGCATTAACTCGGAGTCCGGGTCTGACGGTCGTTTCCGGTTCTGGGCTTGGACTGCCTGAGTGCAGCGGTCCACGTACTCTAGGAGGATTTCCTTTGTGACGGGTTCCCGGATGCTTTGACACACAGCTGGGGAGAAAAACACCAAAAACACCCACACACACCCACACAGAGGGAGAAGGAAGTTACTAGAGACATGATGACAGACAGTCGAGTTCAAATGATCAGCCTGCCCTGAACATCATGCGTAAAAAACTTTGTTGTGAAATGGTTTTAAGCTGTGGAAAAGTTGGGCAAGAACTTAACATCTCATTGGCTGACCAGATTCTTTGCAGTATTTCTGCATCCAAATTACTGTGAATCTCTGGCAGACCCAAAAGACAGGCTCAGATACAGTGAGATTTCCTACGTCACCATTTTAAGCTCCGCCCACGAAGCCTCA